TGTGACTAGAGCCCAATTTTGAGTCCTTTGATCTTTTTACATAGCATAATTATTGAAGAGAAAAGTATTATGTAATTCAGATCCTCCTGTGTTCCACACAAACTCTGATGATCAGGAATCAGTTACTCTTAGCAGTTATGTGGCATGAAATAGAATGAATGGGAATCAACAGCATTTGTCTCATGGAAAATTCCTATAGATTTTCTAGTTTGAATGCTTGACTGTATCAGGAAATTCAATATAGTGAAAGTGGATTTAGGGAAGGACATAGGGAACATTTGCCCCAAGTAGGATTTCTTTAAGTCATTTTCTCAATTTTCTGGGTCCTTACTTTTCTAGTATTTTCACCTCACACAACTGTAATTAGGTTCATCAACTTCCTAAAATTTGATGGAGAATAAGAAAGAAACACTGTTAAAAATGCAGAAACTAGTTGAAGAAAATGTAGCAGAATAAAACCATTAGCCAAGTGTTCATATGTTCCAAAGCATTCCGTAATGAGTGACAGAGCTCATAGTAGCTAAGATCAAGTGGAAGGAGCAGATTTTACTTCAACTTAATTAGTTGTTTCAGTTAAAGACTGTTTCAGTTACACGTCCAGGATTGGCATTAACACTAGAGGAACAAAACACATAGCATTTTTAGTTGTAATAGATGAAAAATCTGGTTGCCTGGTGGCACTATCAGCACGTGGTAAATCAAGAAATACCAAAACATAGAGAAAAGATTAAATGACTGAAAATACTTAGAAGCAAATCATTCCAAAATATTTTGAATGCTAAAACACAATGTTTGAAGCCTGCTAGCCTGCTCTGATGGGTAGATGACTGACGTAAGGAATTGTAAGAATCTGCCCAGATGCCAATTAAAAGGTCATGGTCCCAGAAAGTGAAAGAGAAAGAAAAGCAAGATCAGGTAACATGGGAGAGGCCCCCCACAATGTAATAGACATTTCAAACACAGAAAACACTGTTCCCTGAATGTGCCCATATATGCCCGTTATTAAAGCATTGTTTAAAACAAATTGAGAAGTACAAGAATATGCATCAGTGGACAAACAACTCAATTAATGACTTCACATCAGTACTCTGAAATATCATACTTCTGTTATATTGAATGTGGTAGATCCAGATGTATTCAATTGGGAGATGTCCCTGACAGAGCTAAATTTTAAAAAAATGAACAGTGATATACATTTTATCATACTAACCTCATAAAGTCTGTTTTCAATCCACAACCATGTACTGTTTTTATGCGTGCGTAGAAAAGGAAAAAGGATAAAAGAAAGCATGTGAGATTCCAAATAATGGGTCCATTGCAGGACTGGAATTAGAGTATGGTACAGGGGGAGACCACCGATTTCATTTTCGACCCTCTGATAATACCAATATAATGAGCATATATAATTTATTCAATTAAATCCATGGGTTTTCTTAAGACTGAGATACAAAATAATAAGTTTCTAGAAACATACTATCTCCTCATAAAGACCCAAATGAAACACTTGGCACCTTGTAAACAGACGACTAAAATGCAAATACTTAACAAAGATATTATGCATGAACATATGGTCAAGAATAAGGAACAATGAACTGAAAATCAATGGTGCTCTGGAGAAGTCAATAGTCTTAAACTTTGGTTCTCACTCTACTCGTTACAACTGTGGTCCTAAGCAAGCTTTAAACAAGACTTCTGTTATGGGGTCTTTGTAAAAAGGACAAATGTTGAGCAAAGGGAGTTACACATCTCTTTTGAGATCCCTGTGTACTGAAAGCCTAGATATTTGATTAAACAGTGATGAATGCAAAACTGAGTGATATTGCACAGCAAGGGCCTTAGGAAGTTCATGTAAGAGAAGATCAGTATGAACTGGCCTGACTGAAGCAAGTCAATCCTTGAGTAAGGAGACTTCAGCAGGCTTTGAACTATGCACCTCCAGACTTCACAATGAAAAATCCAGGAAACTGATTTCATAACGTCAAATCCAATAGATATCTTGTTGGATTTCGATACTCTATTTGGCGCTACTTATCGCCCTGCTCCCATCTGCACTTTCAATACGCGGGTGCAGAAGGTAAGCAGTGGCACACACCCGTCTCCTGTCCACACTAGCAATGTGCAGGGGGATTGTAAACAATGGCATTTACCATGCTCCCATCAACATTAGCAGTGTTTCAGGGCAGGGAGGGGACATAATCAATGGTGTTCACTAGCCCCTCAGGTCCCAGAGTGAGTTCTAGCAGTTCCCCTGCTGTTTGGCAGGGGCTTTAGCATTGAGGGAATTATACATACCTTTTTTGCTTTATTAAAATTTGTAATATTTTATCAAGTCATAATAAAGAGTTCTGGGAACTTGCAGCTTCACTTACAAGTTGATAGTGAAAAAAAAAAAATAGAAGTCTAGTTTTGATCCTCTGCTAGGCATGAAAAATTGCTCCCCGCAAGGGTTACCACCTGGTCTTTCCGTCTCATTTGTTAGCTCTAAGAATCAGTAACTTCTATTTCTCTTTTATTTTTTACACGGCCTATCCACTACTCATATAAAGTGAGATTTAATCTGCATTTCAAGTCAACTTTATTGTCTTTCACTTTAATTCTCTCTCCATTATCCAGTTGTCTGGATTCCATTCAGAATAGCTGTTCCATTCAATAAGTTGGGGAGGTGGGAGCTGCGCTCAGATGCGGAGCCCTCTGGAACAGATCATCTCAACAGATCTGGTTTTGAGATGATCTAGGACATCTAGAATTTTGAAGTTGTTATGCAAAGAGAACAAAGACTCTTTGCTTCAGGGGAATTAGTTATAAAGATTCACTCCAGCTTTGAGCTTGTTTGTGTGCAATTCTACACCTTTTAAGATGCAAATCATCTTGTCAGATAAACCCGAGGAGAGATCTGTTGAAAGAATACTGTGGACTTCCGGCAGTTTAATAAAAGGCCCATTTTCAAAAGATTGCCTTAGTAGTGTGGGTCATGTCACATGTTTCCCACCACTCTTACTCAGTTTCCATAGATTTAGAAAAATAAATGCTTCTCACTTTGTTGTAGGTCCTTTGATGGATCTTTAGCGACTTTGAACAATTGTTTATGCCAATTTCACCAGCTGAACAGATGTCCCTCGAGAGGTAAGATTTCCTCAAAGTCCTCACATCTCCTTTTTAGGAAGTCCCACTTCCCTCAGAATTTAAAGGTGGTTATTTAACGTACCCTTGGAAAGTCATCATTATTTATCTACATCTGTCACTTAACATATTACCAGATGCAGAAGTGGGAGCTCTCAGAAGTGGGAACCTAACAGTCATTGAGAACCTGTTGAGTCTGGAATACACTGATGCCAGCCAAAACAAACAGCTGACTCAGCATAGCCAATGGGACCAAAACCATGGCCAGTGGCTTCTGCTGAGAATCACCTTTCTCCTGGTCACCAGGTGATGTGCTGAAGAATAGGGTACAAAATGGTGAATGATTATTCTCTTAGCAGCTGCCTTCATACTGGTGCTCGTAGTAGTAGTAGAATCCTGAGGGGCCTGAGAAGAAGGTGTAGATCAGTGCTTTTCAAACTTCACTTGTACATGAGCCACTAGGGATCACATTAAACTAGATCCTGACTGATTCCTTAGGTCTAGAGTGGGGTGAGAATCTGCATTTCTAGTGAACTCCCAAGTGATGCCAGAACTGCTGGAATCCACGGACCACACTTTGAGAGCGCTGGGGATGGAATCTACTGCGTGAGCAGGTGGGGAGAAGAGGGAAAGTTGGGACTGACAGATGTGGAATAGGTGTGAATTGCGATACGGCAAAAGCAAGATGAGGAAGACTGGACTCTTCATAGCGTAGCACCCCTTCCTCGTGACTTCTCGTGTCGTCAAAAAGTTTAGTATTTCAAAACTGTATAGTTCTGGGGGAAAAAAGTCACTTCAACAGATGATATGCGGTAAACTGGGTATCCCCATGCAAAAGAATGTAGCTGGACCCATATGTTACATCATATACAAAATTAACTCAAAATGAATCAGAGACCTAAATGGAAGAGCTAAAACTACAAACCTCTGAAGAAAACATAGGGGGAAGCCTGAGGACATTGGATTTGGCAGTGCTTTCTTAAATATGACACCCAAAGCTCAGGCAACAAGAGAAAAAGCATATAAATTGGCCTTCATAAAAAATAAAAGCTTTGTGCTCCAAAGGACACTATCAAGAGAGTGAAAAGGCAACCCACAGAATGGGAGCAAATACTTACAAATCATACATCTAATAAGGAGGTAATGTGCAGAATATATAAAGAACTCCTAAAACTCAACAACAACAGTACAGCCCAGTATAAAAATGGGCAGAGAACACCAACAGATGTTTCACCAAAGAGGATAAACAGATGGCCAATAAGCACATAAAAAAATGTGCTTATCATTAGGGTGCCAGCCACATCACTGATCATTAATTAGGGAAATGCGAATTGAAACTACAGTGGGATGTACCACTTCTCATCCATTAGGATGGTTATTACAAAAAACAAAATAGAAAATAAGTGTTGGTGAGATGTGTAAATATTGGAACCTTTGTGCATTTCTGGTGTGAAAGTGAAATGGTGCAGTGGAAAAGAGTACAGTAGTTCCTCAAAACATGAAAAATTACCACGGGCCCGCAATTCCGTTGCTGGATATATACTCAAAACAATGAAAAGTAGGGACTTCACCAGGTATTTGTCCACGAGTGTTTGAAGCAGCAAGATTCTCAATATCCGAAAGGTGGACAGTGCAGACGTCCACAGAAAGATGGACGGGTAAACAAAATATGGTTTACTGCCTGCCCCGGGTTTCAGTCATCTATGGTCAGCTGCTGTCCGGAGGCAGATGGCACGTGATCAGACGGTCAGTAGTGGCCTAGCGCCATGTCAGGATGTCTATGTCATTCACCTCACATCACCTCATTGTGTAGGCATTTTATCATCTCACATCATCACAAGTACAGTAAGATATTTTGAGAGAAAAACCACATTCACATAACTTTTATTTAAGTGTATTAATTGTCACACTTTATTGTTAATCTCATAACTGCGCCTCATTGACAGATTTTATCATAGGTATGTATATGTAAGAAAAGTACATATAGGGTTCAGTACTATCTTTCCTCTCAGTCACTGGGGGTGTTAAAGTGTATCCATCCACAGTTCCCCCCGGGAACGGTTGCACAACGGAATATTTTTCAGCCTTAAAAAGGAATGAAATCCTGATACATGCTACAACAGGGATGAACCTTAAAAACAACATGGTAAGAGAAATAAGCAAGACACACTAGGACAAATACGCGATTCCACTTATGTGAGATCACGTGAGAAGGGGACCCGCTCCCTATTCGGCTGGCAGGCCGCCAGTGCCTGACACGGCGCCTCCCCGCTGGGCACTGCCTCCTGCAGCCTGCGAAGGGGCCAGGCGGAGCGGGCGCTGGCAGGGCGGGTGGGCGTCGCTGCGGCTGCCCACGACCCCCGCCCGGCCCGCCGCCCTAGCCGACTCAGCTGCGCGGCGCGGCGGGAGGCGCGCGGAGCCCGGAGGGAGCGAGTCCTCGCGCTCGGGGGCGCGGCGGCGCGGCTGCTGGGCTCCGGGGGCGGTCGGACTCCGGGCATGGCTTCGGCGGGCAGCGGCATGGAGGAGGTGCGCGTGTCGGTGCTGACCCCGCTGAAGCTGGTCGGGCTGGTGGGCATCTTCCTGGCGCTGTGTCTGCACCTGGGGGCCGTGCTGAGCCCCGCCTGGGTCACCGCCGACCACCAGTACTACCTGTCCCTCTGGGAGTCCTGCCGGAAGCCCGCCAGCTCGGACATCTGGCACTGCGAGTCCACGCTCAGCGGCGGTGAGGACCCGGCGCGCCGCGCCCCCTGCCTCCCGCTCCGGCTGCCCGCGCCCCCCGCCCAGACGGCCACCCTCCACCCCCACCCCCGGTGTCCCCTGCCCTTGTGCGCCTCCCTCCGTCCTGGCCCCTCGCGGCTCCGGGCTCCAGCCGCCTCGCTGCACCCAGCCCTCTCCTCTCCCCAGCCCTGGTCGCCAAACCCAAGGCGCCGTCCCACGCCCTCTCCCTCCTCCCGCGGCCGTTCCTCGGGCCCTGGAGTAACCCGTTAGCTCTTTGGGGGTGATTGTTATCACATCAGGCGAGAAGCACGCGGCTGCGCTAAAAATGTAACGCCTTCCATACCCCCGTTAAAAAAGAAACGCCCCAAGTCAACCAAGATGCTGCGGGCGCTGTGCGCAGTCCTCCCCACTCTCTTCGCCCTCCTCTCAAGGAGGAATTTGCCTGAGTTTACCTCTTCGTGCCCCCGTTTCTGCCTGTCCTGCTCCGCTTTCTCTGGGTTTTTTCCCAGCGAGTTTCGGTTTGGATTTTGTTTCCTTAAATTTCGGAGGGATGTGGAGGGTTGGGAGGGGGAAAGGCTTTCCTCTTTTGGTGACACCGTCGTTGGCACTGTGAGTTGCCCTTCTTTCCCTCCCTGTCCAAATACCTCCTCTCTCCTCCAGACCTTACTTGGTCTTCTCCAAGAGCTGCCTGCAGCTTGGAGCTGATTCAGCCAGCGCAGGAAGCTGCAGGTGGATCTCCATTGTGGGCCGTGCCAAGACAAGAGTTGATGCTGAATTGGATTTTGGAGTGGAAACCAACAGGCTATAAAGAATTCAAATAGGGATATTAGATAATATTGTAGCGATGTTAAATTTACTGATTTTGATCACAGAGTGGTTAAGTGTGAATTTGTTTAGGAAATGCACGATGAGGTATGCAGTAGAGAGGCACAGTTATTCGCAACTTACTCTCAAATGACAGAAAAAGAGTGTGTGTGTGTGTGTGTGTGTGTGTGTGTGTGTGTGTGTGTGTGTGTGTGTGTGTGGTGTGTGTGTGTAGGAGTGGAGAGAAAATAACGCGAATAAGGCAAAACACGATTGGCAAATTGGGTAAAGGGCATTTTTTGTACTATACTACTCTTAGAACTTTTTGTGAATTTTAAATTATATTTTTAAACTAAAAATAACATTGTTCATCGGTAAAGTACTTTCAGCACCATGCATTTCAAACAGGTACTTGCTTTTCCTTTAAGGGAGAATTATAAAGGATGAAGTCATTAGGTTTGTCAAAACTGCAGAATATCTAAAATGTGTATTCCTTGAAAAAAAACCGTATGAAGAACTAGATTTTGTTAGTTTAAAAACCCGAGCCATACTGTACTCTAACATTCCGTGATACTTGGTATAGGTAGTGAAGGTTCTAAATAACATTTTGATCACATTTACAAATGACACTTTATTCAGGCTAGATCATAATTGGTCTAGGAACGTGACTACTTTAAGACAAAGCCAGTTATGTTAAAACACACATATACACACACATCCACCCACACACTGACACAAACTCATGTGAGCAGCATGAGAGTAGGATGCAAGATGTGCAGGGGGAGCGGAAGCGGGGTCTGCAGGGCAGCTGGCGGCGGTGGGCTCCTGGCTGGGGGCAGCTCGTGGGTGAGACTGGAGACGGGGTCCTTTGGTGGTTTGCGGGGAGCATCCGTTACTTTAGGGGCCAGGTCTGTTCCTGGTCCATCAAATCCTGGTTGAGTCAGGAGACTGCCCTGAGCGCCTGGCGTTTAATGAGTTTTTCACGTTGCAGTAATTGCATCAACTTGGGTACCCTAACTGGTCCCTTGTATAGCAGTCTTTTCTTATTGCATATATCCACATTCTTCCCTTAAAATTCTGTAAATAAGAATTCGAACTTTCGGCAAAGTTATTTTACTGATTTATATCTGGGTCTCCCCACTTGCAAAGAAATTGTATGTTCATTTCGATCCCTCTTTATTTTTTTCAAGTACCTGGCAAACCTTTGTTCATTCATATTTAGAAATAAGGACTTGTCTGGTTAACCTAGGTAATCAGCATGGATCTGATCTACAGTTGTGAAGTCCATTTTATTAATAGGTTTGTCTTTGGAATGGGAGGGCAGAGTGTGTCAATCATTCAGTGGCCTCCTTTGGGGATACATGGCATGGAGTTTACAGATTACCTTGGGACCCTCCCTGTTGCCAAGAGAAATATATTTCTCATATTAGAATACTAATGTCTTTCCCTTCCAGGTAGATGTACACTTCTTCTGTTTCCCTTCTCTGCAGGTCTCCAGCTGTGTTAAGCTCTTTCGGTGTCTTTGGAGTGCAGTTTTGGGAGATTAAAGGTGGCCAAATGCCACAGGCGCTTACTTGCCAATGTCAATAAGGGTGGAGGAGGGTCCCAGCAGGGCAGGAGAAACAGGTGTGTTCACAGAGTAGCTCTTTCATCTCACATTTGGCCAAGGGCCCTACACAGTGCTGCCATATCGTTTACTCAGTTCTTAGAGTTTCTCTGAATGTGATCAACTTTCTAGGGCAGATGTTTCACAGTCTCTGAATTAATCAATCTACAAGCCTCTGCTTTTCCTGTCTTTCAAGAATTCCTCACAATTTCTGGTCTCCTAATGGCACCCTCTCTTGTGTGTATGTGTATAGACAATTTTTGTATGTAGTTCACCATCATCATTCAATTACCTTTTTTAAAAAATATTTTAAAATGCAAACGATATCTTGATCTGGGAAATGGGTACATGAGTGTATACACATATGAAAAATGAAAATACCTACATTCTGAATAAGCAACACTTTTACACAGTTCAAAAACCATGGAGCTCTGTCTACAGACCACCACTGGGTAATATTTGTTATAACCCAGAGAAAAAGGGTGAGAAAGAAGAAATCACATTCATATTAAGAAAAATGATAGAGTGAAGAAACTTAAGAAACATATCCCTTAGCACATTTTTTTTTCAAGTACACATAGGACATTTACCAAGACACATTACATCCCAGGCTACAACACAAGTCTCATTAAGTATAAAAGTATTCACGTCATGGAAGACGGATGTGTTCTCTGATCACAATGAAGTTGAATTAAACTCACTGGCATAAAGATATCTGAAAAATGGTCAACTTTTGGGAAGCTAATAATACATTTCCAAAGGACCCAACAGTCAAAGAAGAGATCAGAGGAAAATTAGAAAGTATTTGGAGCTGAATGAGAACAAAAGACAGCAAGTCAAAATTTGTGTGCTGTAACTACAGTGATGCTTGCATGTTAATTTATAGTATTGAATTCCTACGTTAAAAAGGAAGAAAAGCCTCAAAACCATTATTATAAAAGTAGAAGACTAAAGTCAAATCTAGCAAAAGCAAGGAAATTCTGAAGATATGACCAGAAAATAGTGCAATAGAAAACAGAACAAAAATATATCAAAATAGATCAGATCAATGAAATCAAAGCAGATTCCTTGAGAGATGTAAACAAGCAAAAAGATAAACCTCTAGACAGACTGATCAGGAAAAAAAAGAGAAGATAGAAATTACCAATTTCAGAAATGACAGAGAATACATCACTTCAGGTCATACGCTCATTCAAAGAATAATGAGGGAGTGTAATTGTGATACTGTGATACAATATGAAATATATATTTTAGTTTTCATCCCCAGCTCCTGGCCACAATTCCTAAAAGTCTTGTAACTTTCGAAGTGATAAGAACGCTGGAAGAATCTTTCGTGATAGTACTTGGAGTCCTGAAACAGCTCTGGAGTGGTAAAGGTGAGAAGAGCATCTTTCGTTATTCATAACGACTTCCTTTCAAGCACATCTGAAATTATGACAGTGATGTCACTTTTTTTTGGGAAGCCCCTAATGATAGAGGGCTGGTTGCCAGAGGGACCAGACACGTGATTAGAGTTGGAGCTTTCAGCTCTTCCTCCTGCCCTTCTGATGCAAGACAGGCTGGAGGTTGAATTAATCAGTAATGGCCAATGATGTAATCAATATGCCTACATAACGAGGCCTCCATAAAAACCCTAATCAAAGGGGTTCAGAAAGCTTCCAAATTGGTCAACACCTGGGGGTGCTGGGAGGGGTGAAACACTTAAGTCATGAAAACTGTGTCCCTTGCCCTGTGCCTCTCTTCCATCTGGTTGATCCTGAGTAGTATCCTTTTATAACAAATTGGTAATCCAGTAAGTGAAATATTTTCCTGAGTTCTATAAGCCATTCTAGAAAATTATTATAGCTATAGCCTATTGATCAGAAGCACAAATGAGAACCTAGACATAATCGGTACATGAACTGGGGGACAGCCTTGTGGAATAGAGTCCTTAAAGTGTGGGATCTGTGCTAACTCTGGGTAGTATCCTAATTGAATTTTAGGACACTCAGTCAGTTGGTGTCTGGCAAGTTGGAGAATTGGTTGGTGTGGGATAAAAACCCACACATTTTTTTTCCTTTTTTAAAAAGTTTTGATATTGTTAATGTACAATTACTTGAACAATATTATGGTTACTAGACTCCCCCTATTTTCAAGTCCACCCCACATACCCCATTACAGTCACTGTCCATCAGCATAGTAAGATGCTACAGAATCATTAATTGTCTTCTCTGTATATACTGCTTTCCCGTGTCCCACCCCTGCTACATTATGTGTGCTAATCGTAATGCCCCCTTTTCCCCCTTCTCCCTCCCTTCTCACCCATCCTGCCCAGTTCCTTTCCCTCTGGTAACTGTTAGTCCATTCTTGGGTTCTGTGACTCAGCTGCCGTTTTGTTCCTTCAGTGTTTACTTTGTTCTTATATTCCACGTATAAGTGAAATCATTTGATACTTGTCTTTCTCCATCTAGCTTATTTCACTGAGCATAATACCCTCTAGCTCCATCCATGTTGCAAATGGTAGGACTTGTTTTCTTCTTATGGCTGAGTAATATTCCATTGTGTATATGTACCACATCTTCTTTATCCACTCCCCTACTGATGGACACTTAGGTTGCTTCCATTTCTTGGCTATTGTAAATAGTCCTGTGGCAAACATAGGGGTACATATGCCTTTTTGAAACTGGGCTTCTGCATTCTTAGGGTAAATTCCTAGGAATGGAGTTCCTGGGTCAAATGGTATTTTTATTTTGAGTTTTTTGAGGCACCTCCATACTGCTTTCCACAGTGGTTGAACTAGTTTACATTCCCACCAGCAGTGTAGGAGGGTTCCCCTTTCTCCACATCCTTACCAACATTTGTTGTTGAAAAACCCATGCATTTGTTGTCAGAAGTATTCCCTTTAGTAATGATCAACTTTACACCAATAAATTCAACAGCATAGTTGACATTAAACTGCAGGCTAATCCAATGTATGGACATAGATAGAAAACTCCTACATAAAAATACAACCACAACAATCCACAGTGACCATGTTGTGTACATGTCGGTATCAAGGTTCACTCAAAGAGACATAGATTCCCTGAATAGCCCTGCATCTACTAAATAAATTTATTTTTTAGGTAAATTCCCACAAAGAAAATTCCAGGTACAGCTGGTTTTACTGGTGAATTCTCCTATATATTCAAGTGAGAAATAAGCACAATATAAAACTGCTCTAGAAAATTGAAGAGGGACAAGTATTTCCCAACATATCCCGTGAGGCCAGCATTA